GCAAATACACACGGAATCCGTGCAAATACACACTAATTAAATCTGTAAACACGCATTCAAAAAGAAGGCTTCAACAAAGGCTTAGCTAATAAAGCTTTGAATGCGGCTTAATTGAGCAGTTGCTGAGTCATGCAATTGTAATCCTTTGGAAGCATCGTGCCCATCCACGTGCTGGTGATGTGACGGCTATGATTGGGAAACGTTCTTTTCCATGCTAGTAAGATTCGTATCTGAGTTTCATCATGAATTGTTGTTCCGACAGTCTGACGGCAGTACTTTGCTTAATATGATGATGATGAGGAGGATGATGAGGAGGAGGATGAGGATGAGGATGAGGATGCTTATAATGATAATGATGATGTCGATGTCGAAGGTTTGGAGGACTACTACTGCTGCTGCTGCTGCTACTAGTACTACTACTACTGATTCTGCTGCTACTACTACTACTACTACTACTACTTGTACTATTCCTTGTACTACGATGACAACGACTACTTCTACCACCACCACTACCACCAATTACCACTGCCACTAATTACCACTGCTGCTGCTGCTGTTCTTGTTGTCACTACAACAACAACCACTACTACTACTACTACTACTACCACTGCGATGACTACGACTAATTACTGTTACTTCTCACTAAATCTACTCCTCCTATTACGACGACAACTACGAACTGCTACCACTCCCACAACAATGAGCGAGCGTGCATTGACCGGATGGAAGATGAGACATGGCTGCAATGGCTCAGTAGTAGTAGTAGTAGTAGTAGTAGTAGTAGTAGTAGTAGTAGTGGTAGTGGTAGCAGTCGCAGCAGTAATTAGCAGCAATCGCAGCGGCAGCAGGAGCTGGAGTAGTAGTGGTAATTATTGTCAATAGCAGGAGTAGAACATCCGCAGCATCAGCACCAATAGCATTTGGGCAAAGGGGCATGGGAAAGTGGGAATGGGTGGGTTTTGGTGGGTTTGCGCGGGTTTTCGGCGGGTTTGGTTTTGGTCATTTCAAATTTCGATTCTGGATGGGGAAAGGGCCCACGGGGACACCGCCAGAATTGGGCCTGCGACCGTGCCCAAACCCCCTAAGGAGGCAGCCGCCCGCCCCCAGAACTAGCCATGGCCTAATGGGTAAACGTCTGCCTCCAAAGCTCTCCTCGGGAAGGTCGTGGGCTCAATCCCCGGGGGTGTCATCTGGGCCCTTTCCCCACCCGGAATCGAGATTTTGGGGTGACCTGAAGCTCTGGGCTCTCTGGAGACTTAAGAAACGCTATTATAAGGGCTGCAAACCACACCAAATCCGTGCAAATGCACACTAAAACCGTGCAAATGCACATTAAATCCGTGCAAAGACAGACGAAATTCGTGCTAATACACACGAAATGCGTGCAAATACACACGAAATGCGTGCAAATACACACCAAATCCGTGCAAATACACACGGAATCCGTGCAAATACACGCCGAATCCATGCAAACACACACTAAATCCGCGTAAAGACATACACTAAATCCCTCTAACTACACACCAGGTGCACAGTAAATGCGTGCAAATACATACGGAATCTGTGCAAATACACACTCAATCCGTGTAAATACACACACTAAATCCCTGCAATTAGACACCAAATACTGCGTGCAAATACTCCGGATCCCTGCAAACGCTAAATGCGTATAGATACACACCAAATCCATGCAAATACACACTAAATTCGTGCAACTACACAGGACATGCGTGCAAATAATTATACACCAAATCCGTGCAAATACACACAGAATCCGTGCAAGTACATGTAAATCCGTGCAAATACACATCAAATCCACGGAATCCGTGCAAATACACACTAAATCTGTAAACGCATTAAAAAAGAAGGCTTCAACAAAGGCTTAGCTAATAAAGCTTTGAATGCGGCTCAATTGAGCAGTTGCTGAGTCATGCAATTGTAATCCTTTGGAAGCATCGTACCCATCCACGTGCTGGTGATGTGACGGTTATGATTAGGAAACGTTCTTTTCCATGCTAGTAAGATTCGTATCTGAGTTTCATCATGAATTGTTGTTCCGACAATCTGACGGCAGTACTTAGGATGAGGATGAGGATGAGGATGCTTATAATGATGATGATGATGTCGATGTCGAAGGTTTGGAGTAGCCATTGCAGCCATCTCATCTTCCATCCGGTCAATGCACGCTCGCTCATTGTTGCGGTAGTGGTAGCAGTTAGCAGTTGTCGTCGTAATAGGAGGAGTGGTTGTTGTTGTAGTGATAACAAGAATAGCAGCAGCAGCAGCAGGAGCAGCAGTGGTAATTAGTGGCAGTGTTAATTGGTGGTGGTGGTGGTGGTAGAAGTAGTCGTCGTCATCGTAGTACAAGGAATAGTACAAGTAGTAGTAGTAGTAGTAGCAGCAGGATCAGTAGTAGTACTAGTAGCAGCAGCAGCAGCAGCAGCAGGAGTAGTAGTAGTAGTAGTAGTAGTCGGAGAAATAGCAGTAGTAGTGGTGGTAGCAGTCGCAGCAGTAGCAGCAATCGCAGCGGCAGCAGGAGCAGGAGTAGTAGTGGTATTGTCACTAACAGGAGTAGAACATCCACAGCATCAGCACCAATAATTAGCATTTGGGCAAAGGGGCATGGGAAAGTGGGAATGGGTGGGTTTTGGTGGGTTTGCGCGGTTTTCGGCGGGTTTGGTTGTGCTCTTGGCGGTTTTTGGTCAATTCAAATTTCGATTCTGGATGGGGAAAGGGCCCACGGGGACACCGCCAGAATTGGGCCTGCGACCGTGGCCAAACCCCCTAAGGAGGCAGCCGCCCGCCTCCAGAACTATCTGGCCATGGCCTAATGGGTAAACGTCTGCCTCCAAAGCCCTCCTCGGGAAGGTCGTGGGCTCAATCATCGGGGGTGTCATTTGGGCCCTTTCCCCACCCGGAATCGAAATTTTGGGGTGACCTGAAGCTCTGGGCTCTCTGGAGACTTAAGAAACGCTATTATAAGGGCTGCAAATCACACCAAATCCGTGCAAATGCACATTAAATCCGTGCAAATGCACACTAAATCCGTGCAAAGACATACGAAATTCGTGCTAATACACACGTAATGCGTGCAAATACACACCAAATCCATGCAAATACACACTAAATCCGTGCAAATACACGCCGAATCCATGCAAACACACACTAAATCCGTGTAAAGACACACACTAAATCCCTCTAACTACACACCAGGTACACAGTAAATGCGTGCAAATACACACGGAATCTGTGCAAATACACACACTAAATCCCTGTAATTAGACACCAAATACTGCGTGCAAATACTCACGATCCGTGCAAACACACGCTAAATGCGTATAAATACATGCAAATACACACTAAATTCGTGCAACTACACAGGACGTGAGTGCAAATACACACCAAATCCGTGCAAATACACACGGAATCCGTGCAAATACATCTAAATCCGTGAATCCGTGCAAATACATACTAAATCCGTGCAAATACACAATCCGTGCAAATACACACTAAATCCGTAAATACGCATTAAAAAAATAGGCTTCAATAAAGGCTTGGCTAATAAAGCTTTTCATGCGGCTCAATTGAGCAGTTGCTGAGTCATGCAATTATAATTCTTCCCCCTAAACCCTCAATCTATAGACCCTAAACCCTCCCCCTAATTCAAATTAGGGTTTAAAGGGCGGTGCTATTTCCGGGTGGATCGGGGGAAAAGTGTTTTTATAATTAGGGATCCCTTTAGTAAATGGGGGAAGGGATTACAGGACGGCATAAAAATCGGCGATGCGTGCTTGCAGTTGCGTGCTGACAGCTCGTGGTGGTTTCGCCCAATCGACCTTGCTTTTATCTGTACAACCATTTCGTGTTGTGCTGCTTTGCTTCGGTCGGCAAATCATGCTTTGGCTCAGCACTCACCATTTGTTTTCCATCCGGTACTGAGTTTCATATCACGATGCAGGCCTGCCTCCAGCATTGACTCATGTGCCACTCGGCTGTGTCTGTGCCTCCGCCAGGCACTGGTGGCTGCTTTATCCTTCAGGCGCACTGTTCATGCAAGCCAGTCCCAAGCCAGTCCTTGCACTACCCCATCCCATTGCCAGTCACAACGTGTACTGAGCCCTGCCGGTCCCAAGTCCGGCACGAGTTCCGGACTGCGCCTCAGCCCTTGCTGGCTGGGGGTTCTTATTTTCATGACTCTTGCATTCGGAACTCGAGGAGCGAGGGTTGCCGAGGGTGTCGCAACCTCGGCGGGAGCAGGCCATCAGCTCTCAGCAGGTCCCACTAAACCTGTGAAGCATAGCGACGTGCAGGTGTCACTGTCAGGACCCCGGAAAAGGGCTTTTCGTAGAGCCCAAAACCGGGCCACACGAGACGGTGCCACTTGGTACCGAGGACGTTGGTTTACCAAAAAGCAACTACAAGCAGCAGGCTCCTCACCATCACATCCCAAATCAGTCAGACCGAGCCCTGCTGCCAGGTCATCGTTCACTTGTAAGCTTCCAGCGTGGCCGCCAGCCGCAGATGATGCAGGAGCGACCTTTCGGAAAAGCCCACAACAACTGTGTGTCTTTAGTCTTAACATCGGCAGTTTGACTGCCGAAGTATACGACGAGTTCTGTCGCTGGCTTCAGCTTCCGAGCACCGTAGCCACAATCGACGTGATCTTCCTTCAGGAGACCTGGAGGGGCTCCAGCGATTATGTGATACCTGGCTGGTGCTGGCTCACGTCAGGCCAGAAACCCCTGCCAGGGCAGGGAGTAGCGATCTTAATCAACCGCCGGCTGGTTGACCCAGCCCTCATCAGGTATCGAGAAGTACGCATTGGAAGAATCCTACATGTGCAGATCCCCCTCTGCAACGAGCCTCAAGGCCGACTTCTCAACTTAATCTGTGTCTACGTTCCTGCCAAAGTTTCTGAATCCAAACAGGTTTACGAAAAACGGGCTGCGATTTGGAATGCCCTGGACGCTCTCGTACAGGCTCTGCCCAGCAGACACTTCATGTACCTCGCTGGTGATTTCAACACCGATTTGCTTCAGGAGCATCCTTATGTCGGGGTGACACACACCCACAAGGGCAAAACACGTGCGGTTGCCCAGGACCAGCACATCTTTCAAAATCTGCTTCGGACGCATGGCTTACGAGCCCTCAATTCGTGGGACAATCAAAGCACTTATGTTGACCCACAAGGTCCTGCCTCTAGGGTGGATTTTGTCCTTGCGAGAACCATACAGGCCACGGGCTGTCCCATCACCATTCAGCCACAAATCCACTTTGCATCCTGGCGCTCTGGAGCCAGGCATATGCCTCTTTTGGGTATGATTGACTTGAAGGCCTGGTGTCGCTTCCGGGATCGCACTCCAACTAAGCTTGCTATTGATCAGGATGCTTTGTGTCGGGCATGCCGCCCCGGCCCTGAGTTTGAGATTCTTCGTCAGGCCTTTGTTGCTAAGCAGCATCTTTTTACGGCTGATCTGCTGCCCTCTCAAGCGGAGGCTGAGCTCCGTAGCATCTGTGTCAAGGCTTTTCCTTTGCAACGGAATCGCACTATAGCTCTGCAGTGGCAAAACCCGGAGGTTGGTCAGGACTTATCTCTCACATGGCAAATGCGTCGCTGCCTCAAGCAGCAGGCTGCCTTTTGGCCGCATCTGTCGTCTACATTCAGAGCATGGAGGTTGCATGTGCAGTTGAACAGGAGAGTCAAAGAACTGAAACGCAACAGCCGTCGTAGGCGACGTGAACATTGGCAAGCCCAGCTTACGGAGGCGGAGCAGGCCAGCAAAGCTGGAAACCCGCTGAAGTTCTTTCAAGTTGTGCAAAGGCTGGCACCCAAGCGAGCACATGCACGTGTTCAGATCCGTGACTCCGAGGGTCAGATCCTCACTCCTGCCTTAGAGGACAAAGCACTTGCAGCCTACTGGCAAGGTATCTACTCCAGCACCAGTCTGCCCCATCAGGCAGTCTGTCTTCGTGAGTCACTACCTGTTACCCAGCAGGAGCTTCATGATGCTCTGCGGGGCCTTAAGCAACGCAAAGCAGTGGCCAAAGATTTGGCTCCGGCTGCTGTCTGGAAGGCCCTTGCCTCTCCTCTGTCCTGCTATCTGAATGACGTTCTTTGCAAAATTTGGCAGCCAGGTCCGCTTCGCATCCCTCCTGTTTGGGCCAGGTCGGATCTGCATTTTCTTTTGAAACCTCAAAAAGTCGCGCGACGACCGCAGGATTTGCGCCCGATAGCGCTCCAATCGGCGGCGGCTAAGGCAATCCTGACTGTCTTTAAGCAACGCTTGCAGCCCAGCTTCTTGGAGGCTATGCTCACCCTCCCTCAGTATGCTTACGTGGTGGGAAGGTCCACCCACGAAGCTATCTCGCGGGTAGCGGCCCATTGCAAGGAAGTCCGTGATTTGCTCAGGTCTCAAAGCTTGACGGTTTTCGATCGATTTGAAGGTGCACGGTACGCCCCGTGCATAGGTGGGGCCCAACTCGGGCTCGATCTATCGAAAGCATTCGACCTTTTGCCCCGAAGGACCTTGCAACTTTTGCTGCGGGACACCGACCTTTCACTTGAAGAACAACAAGTTTTGCTTGAATGGCATCAGGCCGGCAAGTATAAGATACATAGTAAAGGCAGCGAACATCCGGTCTTTGTTCGGCTGGAGTGTGGGGTTAGGCAGGGATGCGTGTTGTCACCTTTCTTATGGGGGTTGTTCACCAAGCACATCCAACAACGCCTTGATGAGGCTAACGGTCCAGGATGGACTGCTAAGCGTGGCACTTTCTTTGCGGATGATATGCATTTTAAATGGGTGTTCCGGACCGAGGCCGAATTGCATAGCATCCGACTTGAGGTTCTCAACATCTTTCGTGTATTGCGTGAGCTTGGCATGCAGGCCAACCCAGACAAGAGTATCTTCATCATAGGTGCCAGAGGGCAGCAAGCACGGAAGTGGGTGAAACGTTGGGTTCGGAAGGACCCGGACGGCCGCAAGCAGTTCCATTTTGGAGGTGCCAAACACGATAGAGTCCCAGTAGCGAGTCAGCTTACCTATCTTGGCGTTGTTCTCTCTTACCAGAATTTTGAGTTGGCGACTGCACACCATAGGATAGGGGTAGCCGCAGGCCATCGTGATCGGCTCCGCCGCATTTTGCATGCCAGACGTGTGCTCAGTGTGGGGCATCGCCTCCGATTGTGGCGTATCATGGTGCAGACGTCGCAGTTATATGCTCTTGAGGCTATTGGCCTGACTGTTGAAACGGCCAAGCTCCTTCACATCCAGACCATGAGACATATGCGAGCGATTATTGGCTCTGCCAGGCACGTGGATGGGGATTCGGATCAACTTTTCATGCTTAAGCATTGCATTCCTGACTGTGTGGAGCTTGTTAAGACTCGGTGTGATGCTTTTTGCAAACGATTGGCACGGACCGATCTTGCGATCCCATGCTTTGGTGCCGAGGGTATTTTGCAATGGGCACAGTATGTGCGGGACTCGTTACCGCCACCCTACATTGCCAAGCCTCGGCCTCAGCCAACACCTGCTCCTTCCACCTCTGCACCTACCCCTGTCCCTAAGGCCTCTCCACCCAGTGCTCAATCACAGCCTGTGCCATTGTCTCCGCTGCCTAGTGAGAGTGATGTTGCTGGTGCAGCCGCCGCTTCTGCACCTTCTGCACCTTCTGATCCCAAACAGGACCTGTCCTCGGAGCTACCAGCACCTTCCAAGCCCTCGACTGGCTTCGCTTGCTCGATCTGTGCCCGGGTCTTCTCCAGCCTACATGATCTCAAGACGCATGAGGGCAAAGCTCACAAGAAGGTCAGGGAAAAAGTTGCCGAAGTCCAGCACACTGAGCATGGCTACAATGGCTTTCCCATTTGCAGGCATTGTGGTGACAAATTCTCCAAATGGAGTGCGCTTACCAGGCACGTTACAAGGCAGGGCTGCCCCGCCCTTGAACGTGGCGAGCCGGAAGCATTTGCAAAGTCGCAGGCTGAGGCTATGGTGACACCCCATGTGCAAAGGCCTCACATTATGCAAGAAATACGCGAAAATGGTTGGGAATCACTCTTGACCCATGCTGATCTGTGTGCCGACCTCAAGCAACGGTGTGCCTTGTGCTATCAGTGGGTCGTCTCGGGGAAAGGAGTTAGGAAACACCTTCGCCTTAAACACCCTGAGCACTTTCTCCTTCATGAAACTGCTATCAGCCAACAGACTGCCTTGTGGAAGTCCTTCATAGCCTCGCCGTGTCAAGCTTGCGGTACGCACATTGTCGATCGTCGCCAACATGCAGGCAACTGTCTTGTGCTTCTGCAATTGATGCTCATGTCATGTATGTTGGTTGGACATTGCAAATCCAGCAAAGCTACGGCAGGATCCGGTGCTCCAAGAGAAGCAGCTGTGGGGGCATCTTCTGCCCTCCTTGACGGAGGAGGCGGCTCAGGATTGGCAAATGGGCCAAGACGAAGGCAAAGGGGACAAACCATCGGAGGCCAAGCCGAAGGATCTGAACAAACGCCGTCGCACCAACGACAATCCAAACTTCGGTTCGGACAAGCAGGATCGCAAGGGCAAAGGCAAGGGCAAGGGCAAGACCAAATCCTCGAAGGATGCAAGCAAGATGGAACTGAAAGAGGCGGTCCAGCTCATGGCAGCCATGACTCTGCAGTTGGTGGATCAGGCGAGCAGGGTTCAGCTGGACACAAGCTTTCTGCTCACCATGAAGAACGAGCAGGGTCGGAAAACCTGTTACCCATCATGTACAAGGTGTGGAAAGCCTGGAAAATTATGAGATGATTAGGGCTACGCAGCCAGTCAACATAAAATATTTAATTTTGCGAAATATTGCGAAATCTTTGCGTTATGGTTTTGCGTTTTTTTTGCTCCCCGGATTTCGGGTTGCGAAATGGGTTGCGAAATGTTTGCGAAATCTTTGCGAAATCTTTGCGTTATCTTTGCGTTTTTTTTGCGTTGTTTTTGCGTCTTTTTTAGAACATTTGGAACATTGCAAAATATAGCGGAAATAAGCATTTTAGTTGCTGTTTCGTGTTTTTTCAGTATTTGTTTATTATATCCATATATTATAGTTGTATGACGGTTTAGCAAATATATACTGACAAACATATTAAACTAGTTGTCATGTTTACTTGTGTAACTGGTAGCCAAATTGCGCTTTTCCATTTATTGCTCAATTGTTACGAGCTCTCCTCATAAGAAATGTTTGGTCGTGTTTCTCGTTTGTCTCCAAATGTTTCTTTGCTTGACGTGCTTTGTTGGTCTCCACCTGTTGCTGCTGCCTAATCTTGCAGGGAAATTAAAACCGCCCGGCAATTTGGGATTGTCAATGAGATGTGTGCAGGAACACCTGACCAGTGACCACAGTCGATGATTAGCCACTCAGTTTGTCTCTGTGTTGGCCTCATCGTCGATCGACATAGATTTAGAGATTGTGGACTTCCTCAAAACCGTGTGTGTGTGTGCGTGTGTTTTGTGTGTGGACTTCTGATTTATAGTCATAGCGAGATTAGAGTGATTAGAGTAGACTCGACCAGTTCTTGGGGTCTCAACAAATTGCAGTTGGTAGGAGAAAGGCTGTTGCATCCCGGCCCAACCAGATTCAGATCCGGTGCATGTCTACTGATCAGTTTGGCAGAGCCGCAGCATGCCTATGGCCTCTATTCTGCCGATCGTCTCGCCACACCAGTGGCTGTGTCAGTTGTTGCTTCGTGCATAATGGTGTCTTGGGGTAGCACGCTTCGATTCCTTGGGCCCTGCGATTCCGAGTAGTCTGTCTGAGTGCTTCACAAACGTGCTGCACAGTGTTTAAGCCACAAGGGCTCAAACAGGTTTTGATGAAGCTGTGTGTCGAGTCAATGCAGTTCAGCATTTTTGCCGATGTCAGCAGCAAGTATTGATTTTATCACAGTTTATGACGTTTATGATTATGTGATTATGCGATGATGGCCACTGTTTGCTCAGCATTGCCAGCACGTAGCGACGTAGCAGGCAGCGACAGGTTACACTTACAGTTGCAGCATGGCACAGGGACAGGGACCTTCAGTTCTCAGTTCTGAGGTAAGGGCAGGTAGGACCAGGTAGGTAGGTCGCCAGACAGTAAACATATACTTATACCCTGTAAACCTGGTAATCCTTTTGTTCAGGGCACGTGCAGCCATGGCTGCCGAGTGGGAAGATGTTTTGCGAGAGGAGCTGGGTGAGGAGGATCTGGCTCACCAGATCGACCAATGTGATTTTATCCGCACACCTAGTACAGCTGACATGTCAGAGAATGAGAGAGGGGAGGGCGGAGAGAGCAGCGGTGGCAGCAGTGGTCGTCGGCTCCCGAGCACGTGGTGGGCGGCCCTTCTGAAAGCAGCAGGGCGTCACTTGGGTTTCGATGATATATCTCTTTCACAATCAGAACATGTGAACGTTCTCAGTGCATGCACCGGTTGCAGTGCCGAGTCTTGGGTTCTGAAGGCCGGGCCCCCAAGGATCACCAGTGTTTCTTTCCATGGTTGGGTTAGGACGGTTAGGACGGTTAGGACCGTTAGGTTAGGACGTGGCGCTGCTTGCTTGAGTCACAGTCTTGTTCTTGGCAATGTTGGGGTTTGCGCTTGTGCGCCGTCGTAGAGTCGTAGAGTCCTTATGTCGTAGAGGCATGGTGTAGGCTGGCATCGACCGACTCAATCCTTAGTCACACTCACCAGCCACTAGCAGTAGCACTAGCCTTAGGCCTTAGGCCTGCGTCCTGAGGTTTAATGCATTGGGTAGGGTTAAAGTAGCCACTTAGCTTGGCCGTTAGGTGTGCTTGAAACTTACTTAGCACTTTGGGGCATGGTTGGATATTAGATTCTGCCAGGTTTGCGGGGGGGGGTCGGGGTGATGTATCATCAGCACAAAGTCTTAGGCCCAGGCAGGCTGTTCGAACAACCCCCATCCAAGCACGATTTTCCACGACATTGAGCTTGAAGCCAAAGCCGAAGCATGTGTATGGTTTAGGCAATCAACGAAACCCAGATTTGCACAGCAAAAAAGACACAGGCACTCTGTTTCTTTGCAACTTTCCAGGATATTGGCCTTTGTTGTGTTCGAGCTTCTGCGGTTTTGCTGCTGCTGCTCAGTTGACACCGAACTCAACTCCCGAAACTCCTGCAACCTTTTGATCCGTACTGAGCCGCACTGGTCTGCTGCAGGCCCTCGGCATCAAGTTTTCGGTCGTTTCAGCCTCGGACACTGATGCTGATTACCGGGCTTTCGTGATGGAGAACTTTCCCAACGAGATTCAGCACATGTTCTGCAGTATAGAAGATCAAATATCAGTTGCAGCAGAAAGACCTTCGAAGTGCCCTTGCTTGGCATGCCTTGGAAACACTGAAGAAGCTGTGTATGGCGCAACCGATGAAACTGTAGACCTCATGGTGTGTGGCTCCCCTTGTGACCCATACTCCGTGCAGAGACACAAGAGGCATTGCAACGGCAACGTGGAAAGTCATTCACTTTTCAATACTACTATGCGCGACATGGTCCGAATGTTCGAACTTTATTCTCCGGTCGTGGCGATCACCGAACAGGTCCCAGGTTTCCTGCTGCCTTTCCACAACGCTACCACAGAAACGCCGTATGACAGGCACCGGACGGACAGCACAGGGCACAGGGAGACTTAAGTAAGATTCACGACTTCTCCAAGAATGCAAGGTAAGGCAAGGCTTCAGGAAGATGTGCAAGGCTGGAGTGGGGTTTAAGTTTAAGGCTAGTTTGAGGTTTAAGGACACGGGCTTCATCAGATTACTTAGGCCAGGTTTCAGCTCGTTTAGCCCAGTGCAGCAGTGTAGTCAGTGTGGTACTGGTAGTGAGTGTAGCAGTGTAGCATAGAGTGTAGTGCAGATTCGCCATAGATTTTCCAACACTGAAAAACCGAATATCCAATCAGCATCGTGTAGATTCTGAGTCGATGGTTGTTTGAAGCATTCAGGCAGCAGGCAAAGCAATGGCCGAGGAATTCAACCCTCAAACTCATCAGTCTTGAAATGGAGGCTGTTCGACTTATTTGGTACAGAGCACTCAAGTCAGGAAGTCAGTCTGCCAAGATCATGAAGGTGCCAGGCAGTTCTGTGAGATCCATTCCAAGCTTAGATGTGCATCCCAGAGGCTAATAAGGGAAGTGTTCTTGACAGTCACTAGGCCCTAGGCCCAAGGCAGCACATGTTTCTGTTGTCCCACATTACAGGCTGCTGCTGCACATGAAGAAGGGGAACATGAAATTTGGTGGCTACTTCTTGGTGAAGTTCGAGATGGATTCTGCTCTATGGATGCAGATGTCTCGGCCCAGGCGCTGCGGGTTAAGCCTGGATTTTGGAGTAGTTTGACACATTGTGTTCGAGTCTGAATCAATTGGCATTTTGCGAATCTATATATGTGGTTGTCGCTTCCTGTGACTCATTGCAGCTGTAGCAGTAGCAGCTGCAGCAGCACTTTGACAGTGTAAAGTCTAAGCAGGGCATCGGCCTTGGCCGGGTCATTAACCTGGGTAAGACCGGGTAAGAAATCCGTTAAAAGCTCTGCAGCTTTGGGTGTTCAATGGGGTTATTCCTGGTATAAGGACTTTGGACTTTGGAAAATTGCACTGTTGACTCTTGGGTCTTGAGTTTTCTGAGTAGTCTGGCAATAGCTGGTGCTCCCGTGCGGTTGGACCAGACCCCCTTGTTTGGCTTGGTTTCTCGGCATGGTCAATCTGTAGCTGTGAGCTGTAGCTTCACTCGCTGCTTCCTTGCTGGCATTGGGGACCGAAGCCGAGAGAATGCCAAAGGCCAGGGTCAGGGGTTTGCCAGAACTTCAGTGCTGAACTGTCGAGTTTCAGTCCGTCTGTAGATGGATGTGGATCTTTAAGTTTCACATGTGCAAGGTTCTCAAGTATCTGCTAGCTGCTAGCTGCTAGCTAGATTCTCGAGTCTAGAGTCTAGAGTCCCTTGAAGTTCCCTGAAGACATCTTTCATCTGGTGACCAGATGCTTTTCTATGCTATGCTATGCCTATGTAGAGTCTATGTCTGGTGTCTAGTCACTAGTCTAGTCTATGTCGTTACATTACCATTACATTGTGTGCTTGTGCTCTAGTCTCCCGTCCATGCCTGGCCTACCTACCCGGATCTACCCCAACCGCGAGGTTCCAATTCTACACGGCCAGGGGTTTTTTGTGAGTCGACTGTTCTCAATCCTCGGACCAAGCAGCCATGGTCGAGCCTGACAGTCGGTGTCACTAGGTCTAGGTGCAGCTGAGTGGCAGCCACAGCCAGAAACACAGCTCAGACTTATTGTTTCCAGAGTTGCATGGTGTCTTTCAATCATTGAATAGAGGTGCAAGATCCACCAGACGTATTATTTCCCGTGTGGGTTTGTGTTGGGTGTGGTCGTCTACGGCCTATGCATATGATGGAGTAGTCATTAGTCTTTAGACTTTAGATTCTAGTCAGAATCAATCTTTTTCATTTGCTTTTGATCGTTGAACTACAGAGTGGTTCTCCTGGGTCCTAGGTCGTGTTCTGTAAACGTCTAACAGAATCTCACGTCTTCCCCAACCCCCACAGATCTGAGGATTTCGATGCTTCCGACACTGTGAGCCGAAGAGTCTGTGGGTCTGTGGATTGCGCCCGAACTTGCCGAGCTGTCAGCTCCAACTTCTGGCCGGTCTGACTCCGCACTAATGTTTCAGGACACGGAGCATGCCACATGCTTGGGAATGTTTTTGACATCCAGCTGAGGCATCAGGCCTAGGACCTAGGACGTAGGAGACGTAGCTAGGACCTAGGACCAGCTAGGACCGAGGGTTTCTGTTGTTGTGCGGTCCAGTGAACGAGTGGCTGTAGATTTTAGATTGCTTTGGATGTCTGAGGCACAGCTTCACAATGCATTACAACATTACAATTACGATGGCTGAACAGTGGACAGCTGTTTGGACCAGCTGCAGGTTTCAATAAGAACTATTCCCAATCTTGTGTGGCTTGAACACCTCTTACCTTTGTGGCCCTCAACAGTCTCAACAGTCACAACACAACCTGATCAGGATCATAATGGACCGGGAGCTTGATGAGGCCATCCGTGATGTCATTGGACCGTCCGACGACGACGACTCTCAGCCCTCTGCAGCAGTGGCAGCGACTAGGACCAGGAAGCCTGGCCGCGGCCGTCCGCGTGGATCTGTGCTCTTGCGGCAGAATCTGCATGAAGTCTCTGATGCGGTGGATGATGCGGCTGATTCTGCACAGCAGGGCCAGGTGCAAGCCGTGGCGCCTGCTGTCGCAAACCCTGAAAACAGGATGAACCGGGTAAGGGAGCAGAGACTTCAAAGAATGGCAAAGAAAGACTGGCAAGGGCTAGGACCAGCAGATCTGATGATTCGAATGGGTAGTCCTGTGCAGCGATCACTGGCTGCTGCACTTGTGGACATCAGAAGCAGTGCTGCAAAGGGCAGAGGCGGAGTGATGACGGAGCCCAAGGCAGAGGAAGCAGGGTCACCAGAGATGATTGATCATGTCGTCAATGGCAAGGTTCTCACAGCTTCGGCTTCCTTGCTTGCCAGACTCACAGGCAAGGAGGCATCGGTTGCGCAAGGCACTTTAGTTGCTGCCGGTGCCGCCACAGCTGAGACCAACGGCATCATGTTGGGTTCCATGCTTTCTGATTTTTGCAAGATCGCAGTCCAGCAGGGATTGAAACCTCTTCTAGCTGTGACAAAAGTTAGATATGATGAAACTCCTGCCAAAGTTCGGATATGCAGAGCATCGTTCAATGATCAGGCTTCAGACGGTGTCAGGGAAGGCAGTGTCAGTGGCGACATGTCACAGTGCGTGATTGTGCCACACGCATGTGCGAAGGGTCCAGCACTACAGAAGTTCTTGCTGGGCAATGGTGCCTCGTTATCGTCGCATGTTGCACATGTCGCGACTCATGCGAAAGTCCTCCAAACACAAGTTGCAATGAGCTTCGTGTTCGCTGAGAAAGATGGGGACTGCCATTCGTTGACATTTGATCTTCCGTGCCCACTCCAGGTCATTGAGAGAACCACTGGCGAATGTCAGCGCATGTGTATCTGGGAGTCACTCACCCAGATTCCAGAGTACAAGCGGCTGGTCGGCGGCTTCCAGCATCAGGTGCGGTCCGTTTGCACGGACCGTGCTGGTGCAAACTTTCGGACAGAACGTGGTCTGCAAGAGTGGCTGCCGAAACAGGTGTTGATTCACACCCCGTGTGATCTTCATAAAGCAGCTACAGCAATCAAACACACGGTTCGATCTTGTGAGTCTGATATGAGTGGACTAATAAACTCGGCATTGGTCACTCGAGGAGATGCAGGAGCCATGGGTCGCCTACGAGAGATATTGCTGTCAATCCTCGTGTCGACAACCGAGCGTGTGTGTGATGAGTTTCCTCCTCAAGGACGCATCAGTCGGCATCGGATGGAGATGTTTGATCTTTGGCTGCCAACCAAGCATGTGGGTCCAAGTGTTGCCAAGCAGCATCGCAAACGGAGATTCTTGCTGAGCAACCTACTGAACGGCGATTTGCTCAGCTCTGTGCCGCAACATTACTGCCCAGTGGGATGTTGCCAGAGCGATGATGACTTTGTTGGCAAACTCACATCCTTCGGGCTGTGGGCATTGCTGCCTCGGCGCATGCCCTTGCTTTCGAGGAAGAACTGGCTGAACCAGACCCACGCTATGGAGTGGGCAGGATGCCTCGAATCTCATCACCAGTTGTTCTCCAAAATCATGATTGCTTATGTGGGAAGGCCAGCTGCCCCGCCCGCCACAGCCACAGATGGTTCAGCTGGCAGTGCGCTGGATAATGCTGTCCAAGATTTTCTTCTGGAAGACTTGTCTGGAAACAGAAGTGGGGAGCAGGCTGAAGCAGAACAGATCCCTGAGCCTGAGCCGAGTGTTCAGGAACCTTCGGGTGAGCCAGTGTCAGCCACGACAGCTTTTGCAGAAGAGAACAGGCTATGGCGTTTTTCGGTCAGAGAATACATTTGCTCGAAGCCTCTTCCCCGACTGTGTGTTCTGAAGGAGGTTCTCAATGCCATTCACTTGGTCATGACAGAATTCCTGGCACTTTCCAGTTCTGCATGGGAGCAGAAACAGGCTGCCAAAGCTGCTTTGCAACAGCCTAGAGATTACTTGGTTCTGCAAGCTGCACGAGGCACACAGATCCACCGCTGCATGGACAAGTTGGTCCAAGTTCTGTGCGAGGAACGACTAGACTCAGTCAGTTTTCTGGCCTGCAAGTTTCGTGCTCTTCGTTTTTGCAGTGCAAGTTCCGGCTTGTGTTGCTTACACGGTCTTCTCCGTATTCCTCGCAGGTCAATCACCTATCAGGGCTTTTTGCTTTTGGACAGCAGGAGCCATGCTGATGCCCAGAAGCTTCTGGACACTCCACCGTGCTTGTGACTCTTCCCGGTTCAGTCACTTCAGAATGACATGAGGCATGTAGGCTAAGTTTTCCATTTTTTGTGCAAACAATCATTGACAGTTTGTTGGGCTGGCTGCTAGCTTTTGCTTTGACTTTGACTCTTTGACCATTGACACTCCGCCTGAAGAGTTCCTGAAGGAGCTTGGGCCAGGGTTTTGGGTCCGCGGTCGCAGGTTCTGGATAGATAGATAGACTCTATATTGACTCTAGTCTCCGGCAAATAATTCCTGATTCTTCTTTTGCCTCAGGGGAGGGAGGCTCAAGGCTTAAAGCTTAAGGCTTAAGGCATAAACCTTTAAGCCTTTAAGCCTTAAGGGGTAGGCCAAGCCGTAGACGTAGAGGCCCCTAGAACCCCTCGAATCGGGAGGGCTTTATAACACATTTCGACAGAGTTTCGAAGCATTGTCGGAGTCAGCTGCAGCATGCTGCTAGCCCAAGGAAAGATGAGTTCTTCAGTTTCATGTGCAGAACCTTTCCATCACCAATGTCCCTGCTGGGAAAAGATGCTATGGCAATTCTGCAAGCCACAGCAGCCAGCATCAGTGTGGACATCGGCGAGATAGAGTCGTGCCACTCACTGACACGAGATTTCATCAATGTCAGAGCCAAAGGATGGGTGAGTTCCTTGGAAACTGTATCGGCCTTGCATATCCTGCAACAGCGGCGCAAGATTGTGAAAATGACTACTTCCCGAGCGGCTGATGCGAGAGCGACAACCCAAGACATGAAGAAGCCCGGGCCGAAACGGAAGGACTCCAAGGAGAAAAAGAAGGGAGGTGGTGGTGGTCCTTGGAGGGCCTTCGTCAGCTATCGTCTGCGTGGAGTCAGGGCTTCCAGCCGAGACGACGACAACATCTTCGCAGACCTTGCAGAGGAGTATCAACACCTGGGTGATGCTGACCGAGCATGGTTTGCTGATGTAGGTCGTGCGGGCACACTGGCTCACAAGCGAGGCCACAGGGCTTTTGGCGACACTTCGTATGCTCGCCGCATTGCAGATGGCTCAGATGGCAGACATGACGATGCCCAACGGGATGCTGCTGCTGATGCCGCCATCGTGGCGCATGATGCACCTAGATTCGACTTTGGCTTGGTGCCGGTCGCCGGCATGGACTTGGCTGCCAAATATTCGGAATTCAAAGAAGCTTTGGAGAAGGAGGCCCGTGCCTCTCAAGGTGACCCGCTTGCTTTGACGGTGGCCGAAGCATCCAAGTTGGACATGATTTCAGCTGATACACAGGCCCTTCTTGTGAGAGAGGCTTGGGAACGTGGCGGTCATGCTGAGCTTCAGAGCAATATGACTCGGCAGCCTTCTACACCAGCAATCAAGCACGCTTACCAGTGGACGCCTCCTACCGACAAAGCTGTCAAGGCCCATCAGATTCAGGTTGATTGGTGGCTATTGATTAGTTAGTTATGATTCATGGTCAGTCGGTTAGTCTGTGGCCGACTTTGTTTTCCGAGGGTCGTTTGGGATTATTGCTTCCTTGCTGTGTTGGGCTGCTACATTTCTGCCACTTACGGCTTACGGGGCTGCTGCTCTTCCGGAGATCGGCCTTGGCTGGGGTCTGGAGAGTTTGGAGTCTGGAAGTTTAGTTTGAGTGTTTGAGTTTTGAGGGTTAAGGCTTAAGGCTTAAGGCTTAAGGCTTCAGTTAAAGTTAAAGCTTAAGGGCTTAAGGGTTAACGGTTCGGTTCGGTTAAGTTAAGTCAAGTCAAGTGTAAGTGTAAGTCTTAAAAGTCTGAACTGTAACTTAAATTTAAATCATTTAGTCAAGGTCAAGTCAATTACTCGTGCTTGAATTGTATGCTGTAGGTTTACTTTAGTTTAGTAGGTTATCGTAGGTCGTAGATAGGCCCTAGGCCCTAGGCCCTAGCCCTGGCCCGAGCCCTAGGCTTTTAGGCCGGCTTAGGCCGGCAAGTCAGTGTGGGACAACTATAACAACTATAGTAACTATAGTTACTACTATAGTATACATGGTATTACTTAGTATGAATATCACATAATCAACAGTATAATCCGGACCTCACGGCTCAGTACAGTTTAATCAGTTGAATCGTAAGTTTAATCATTGTCTGTATCAGTATAATAATAGTACAGCAGTTAAACTAGTACCTAGTTACTAGCAAAACTTAACATTATAATATAACAGCTTCGTCTAGCAGGCCAAGCAGCAGGTAGGCAGTGGCCAGGCCATAGGTCGGTTAGGTCAGTTAGGTAGCAGTCACTCAGTTAGCAAGTAGCAGGTGCCAACGAGCGGCCACCAGCCGCTCGCCTCGTGTCAGTGTTGTCAAGTGTTGTCATTTGCAATTTTCCTCTTATTCTGTTGGGTGTCTAGAGTCTAGAGTGCCAGTCTCGGTTGTGTCCAAAGTGTACAGTCTGCTACAGAGTCTACAGAGCCCAGGACCTCGGACCTAGGAGTGCAGAACCTGTTTCGCAGAGAGACAGCAGGCATAGACACAACAACGGCAACGAAGTGGTAAACTGGTCAGCTCCTGAAATCGAACTCCCAAGGGTCAACCAAATGATTTAAATATAAAAGAATTCGTAGCTGGTTGAGGTTGTAGTGAAGTGCTTGTAGATTGCAGCGTACAGTGCACTGCACACTCCCGACTGTTGTGTGGTGCAGTAGGTCGGTGTATCCCACAGGAATGCAGGAAATTTGGAGTGGGGGCACTGTAAGTCTTAGCAGCTACCAGCAGTCTAAACATCACCTGGCTTGCAGGACCTGTTGAAGGACTCCACCGCAGGTGCGAGACGGAAGCACAAAGTGTCAGCGACCTTAAGAGCTGCTTGGAGCAAGCGCTGCGGGGTGCACATGCACAAGAGCCAGGAACCCATTCCGGCAGTGGTTCCTGGTGCATTCGTTCCCAAGCCCTGCTTTGGCTTCGGTGTCTGTGTGTGTGGCAAGTCGCCCGCATCTTGCCCTGATGCTGCGTTTATGTCTCAGAACATGCAGCAGTGGATGCGGGCCACATTCTACAAGACGAATAAGGTTCCCGGCACGGCCAGAAAACTTCTGGAGCAGCAGTTGCTCGTACTGGCCTTCGAACCGGGCCCTGCGTGGCTCTTGGAGGGTGACAGCTTTACTGGGCTTGCCCAGTTGAACTGTTGAAACCTTCGAATTTTGGGCGGCCGGGCGGGAAAGATGATTTTAGTTTTGAGTTTACGAGTATTCGTTTTTAGTCCACAATTTCTCAGTACGTTTCAGCTCCTTTTCAGTTTTCAGTGAGAATCCATCCTTTCGTGATATTTAGGCTCAGTTTTAGTTTTTGGTAGTGTGGGGCAAAGGCTCCATTCGGACGTAGATGTCATGGCCGGAGCTGCAAGGGCAGGAGCTTGCACTCCTTAAAGGGGCATTCGCGAACCCCAGGCAATTGCACGCAGCCTTTGATGGTCGCGAGGAGGCGGCTGAACTAATAGAGGTGTTCTTGCCAGGCATCAACAGAGATGGGAAATATCAGAGAGCTGATGTTCTTGTGACATGGGCACGAGAAAACGAATCAGCAATCAAGCGGCAGCGAAGGGAGTCATTGCATGGTATGTGGGAAGTGCTACCACAGCAACGTGTGGTGCCGAAGCTGACAGACACATTTGATGAGCTGGCAAGGAGCAACCCACTTGTCTTGCTGCCGGCACTGCAGCGGAAGAGGCGCTTGCTTAGAGAAAATACAGACGCTACACAGCGCGCAAAGGAGGAACAGCTCGCAAAGAAGAAGTATGCCTTACAATTGGCCGGGATACTTAAAGAAGCGAAGTTGCCACTGGTGCAACAGCTGGAGGGAGTGGACCAGCCTGAGGAAGTTTGGCCACGGATCTTTGGAACCCGCAGGAGCAAAACGCTGCGAAACCGCTTGAAGGCTTGGCAACCCTTTAGGACGTGGCTGCAGTGCGTCCATGATGTGCAATGGCCGACTAGCGTGCGGCAGCTGATTGATTATAGCAATGAGAGATTTCAAAGTGAGTGTGGCAAGACAGTGCTGAACAGTTTCCAGGCGTCGCTGGCTGTCTTGGAGCAGGTGGGAAAGGTCGCTGAGACACAGCGGCTATCGAGCGACACAACATGGCTGGCACACTTGAAGTCATTGACTGCAGACTTGGTGGGTGAGCAAGCGCCCGTGCAGCAAGCCCCAATGATGACGGTGGCTATGATCATTTCACTTGAGCTGCACATAGCGAGAGAGGATGAGCCTGAGTATGTACGGGCAATGGCATTCGTTGCGCTGCTGGCTGTGTATGGTTCCATGAGAATGGACGACTTGCAAGGGATTCTGCCGGCTACCATGCGGCTTACTGCACAGGGCTTCAGAGCTACGCTTGGACGCACCAAGACAACAGGCGCCGATCGGCGCAACAAGGAGGTCACAGTCTTCATACACAGGCAGGCGGGTTTGTCCGGTTTTGATTGGTTAGGTGAGGGCTTCGCGCTTTGGAAGAAGTATACGCAGCCGAGAGACTACCTAGTCATGACTGCCAGGGACGATTGGAAAGGGCCAACTAAGCATTTTGCTAAGACCGAAGTTGTCGCTGGCTATGTGCGTGAGGTTTTCAAGAGGCTTGCAACGCCGAAGTTTCAGGATGGGGCATACCGCCTCAACTTGCAGAGATACCTCCTGGTGGAAGGGGCTCAAGGCTTCTTCACGGGGCATAGCCCACGCAATTGGCTTACTTCAGCCGCCGCAGTGTTGGGTTGGTCTAAGGATCAGAGGGATTTCCTGGGTCGTTGGCTTATCGGTGGTTCTGGTTCAGCTGACTACACGCGCACATCCCGGGAAGTCGTGCGTCGCATTCAGATCGGAGTCTGCAGAGCAATCGTCACCGGCCAAGGTGGCGAGTATCAAGAGATCGAGGCCCTCGAAGAGTTAAAGGCTTATGTGGACGAGCGTGGAGGTTCAGGTGCATTGGCAAGGAGGCGGCATGACATTTTTAGGACTGTGGGAGGTGCGCGCTGCTTGGGTAACAAGTGGCCTGTAATTGAGTTAGATGATGCAGATGCCAGTGAGGAGGAGGAGGCTGCCGAAGCCTTGACCGTTGAGGGCAGTGCCACAAAATACTTTATTAGCATCAGTCGTAAGACGGGCCATCGCAGGTTGCACTTGAACGGGCCGTGCCATGTCAAACCACATCATTGCAATAGGGTCGAGTTTGTCGAGCGCGTCACATTGGAGCAGATTGACAGCATCTGTCGTGATTGCAAGCATAGGATGAAGGAGGATCAAGGTTCCGAAGAAGGCCAGGACACTAGTAGCGAGAGTGGGTCCACAAGTGACTCGAGTAGCGGCGAGGGGTGAGTCTCAGATTGATGCATGGTGACAAATCGCTTGTTGCGGTAGGCATGTGCAGTGTATGAGGTGCGACACGTACTTGACTGATTCGCAGTGCTGCTTTGTAGGTGCTTGCGTGAGGAAGTTTGGCTGAGGTGTCATCGCGGAGTGTCAGCATGTTCATGATTTGTGAGCTACATGAGTTTACATTGAAAGCTTTGAGTGCTTGAAGTTCTTCACCTCTGCTTTAAGAGCTACGTGACTTTCAGTTGCCATGGGCTACCGCTGAGATTGCGGTTTCAGTCGCACAGCACCGTGCTGTTTCAGATAGTATGGCGTTGCCTAGCGAGGCGGATCAGAGAGCTGAAGTTGCGAAGATGGATTCAGACTTACAATATGTGCTTCAGGAAGCCAGTGCGTCACTGGCCACACAATATCAGGTTGCGCGACTCCATCAGAGTCGTAGGCGATTCCAGGCGATCGCCGATAACCGCGAAGGTGCCAGGACAGCGGCGCGTGACTTCGGGATTAATCCCGATACGCCTGCAGGCCGTGTTGAGGTGGCCGCGATAGTAGCTGCATGGGAACTTGCAAAGGAGTATGCGAGTAAAGAAATCGAGCTCCGTGCGGAGGCGAAGGTGTTAGGCCATAAGAGGATCTTGCAAGTGCAGGAACGCCAAGCTATGTTGAAGGCGGTGACGGATGCATACGGTAAGATGAATGAAAGCGAGACGCCAAGTGCGGAGTACTTGGCAACCAAGGCCGAAGAATGCGAGAGCAACGAGCCTCTAGCGAGTTCACTTGATCGTATCTCTTCAAAGAAAGATTCGCAGGTGGAGAGCCTCCAGACCAGCATTGATCCCACTGGGCATGTTCGTGTGACAAAGACGATGCAGAAGTTGGAAATGCCGCATCACTCCGAGGGCTACCGTCGCTTGATGAAGGTGGAGGCCCATGCCTGGCTCTGCATGAGTGCCCGATTTAAGGCGAAGGGATGGTTGCAAGGGCTTCAGCTTGAAGATTTTACAAGGTTTGTAGAATACATCTTGGGAGATCGTGTTGGCAATTTGAAGTTGCCCACTGCTTCAGGGCAGGAGACGCAGTTCAATCGGCCACCTTGGAACATCGTCTTGAGTTATGAATACAAGTTGAGGGTTGAAGCCTTCAAAATGATCCTGGAGGGAACTGCTACCATGTCGGAGGCGCTTCGGGCCGTGCGTGAGGACCCGTCTTTGAAAGAGGCATACTTCACGACGCCTCTGGCACTTCACACAGCTGGCACGCCGACTAAGTTTCGGAAGGGCAATCATAAAGGGAAGGGTAAGACACCAGGGCAAGAAATACCGCCGCCGCCTGCGCCGCATCAGAACGGACGTGGAACAGGGAAAGGCAAAGGCAAAAAGGGCAAGGGCCAGGTTGTCTTGGCTAACGGGAAACAGCTCGCTCTGGTGTCGGCGACGCCTGATGGTCGCCAGTTGTGCTATGCTTACAACCACCAAGGCTGCACCGATCCGAAGTGCACCCGTGTTCATGCATGTCGTGTAGCCGGGTGTTTCGCCGAGCACCCAGCCTCGCAGCACGAAGCTGCGACCGCAGGCAAGTGACAGGCTTGCGCTCAGCAGAGGACGCAAGGGCACAAGCTTCCGGCGTTTCCGTCAGGCCAACCTGTGGCATCAAGGGTGGTACATGTAATTGCAGATCCTGCTGAGCGCTTTGATTGGAAACCGCATCTCAGCAATAGTTTGTCGCAACCAGAATTCATTGCGTTTGGGTTTGATGCAAACAACATGTTTTGTGGTGACGCTTGGGATCAGTTGTTTGAGCTTGTGAAACAACCGAAAACCGTGATCTTGATCTCGCCACCCTATGATACTTTTAGTCGGGCGAGGCATAAGCAACCTGGGCCCACTCCACTTCGCAGTGATAGGTGGCCCAGAGGTTTTCCATGGCTTAAGGATTCGTCTATGCAGAAGGTGACTTCTGCCAATCATTTTGTCGACCAGTGTTTGAAAGCAACAGTTTTCGCGGCCGAGGCTGGCAATTTCTTTGTGTGGGAGGCGCCGGAACACTTTGGCCGCACTGCTGACGGCCTCGTGCCGAGCTCCATTTGGGCTTGGCCAGAATTACTTGACTGCATACCGCGTTTTGCTGCCACAACCTTTGTGCATTACTTGTGTGAGTTCGGGGCGGACATGGCCAAACCAACACGTTACTTGAGCAATCTGCCTTTCTTTCGTCACTCGCCGCGGCCTTTCAACGGGATGCCGGTGTTGGATGCTGATCAGCGCTACATCGGGCCGCTGCCCGCGTCGTGCCCGCATGGGGGTCATTCACCTAGCACCGGCAAATCGCAGGCTACGCAAAAGTGGAACTTGCCGCGGGCCCGCGGTTGGCCCCTTCAGCTGTGTCAATTTATGGTAGCAGCCATCGACTTCTCGCTGCAAGCAGATGGGGAGTGCAAATCCTCTAAGTCGAAGGTTCCCGATAAGGTAGTCAAGGTCCCCGTAGGGTCCGGTTCACCCGTAGGGTCCGGTTCGCGCCCTAAGGATCCATCCTTGCCCGGCGCTTCAGGTTCTTTTCCTTCAGGTTGCAGTACCGCGGCGGCTCCTCCTTCCCGCTCTGGTTGTAGTTCCCCTAGGGCCTCGGCGGTTCCTTCCCTTTCAGGTTGTAGTCCCCACGCACATCCTTTGAAGTCCTTGGGCGATCCCGAGAGTGCAGCATCAAAGCTCCTGGCAACACCAGGGCTGCTAGAACGTCGTCGTGTGTTAGAGCTATTTGACATGCTGCCCCGCGAGGAGCCGCCTAGGGAGTCGACTACAGCTACACCGGGCAGTTCTTTCGCAACGGGTGCATATTGCAAGGGTGGCTTAGTCGGTTTGAGGCATCATTCCACTGTGCTGCCGAAGTCTACACAGGTTCTAACAAGGTACTTGCAGCAGGTTGCACCGGGCTTTCAAGCATCAGCTATTGCGATCTTTGATGATGTCCGGACGGGGGTCCACCGTGATGCCCGGAATGCGCACTATCCGAACATGGTAGTGCCGTTGTCGGATTTTGAAGATGGCCAAATCTGGTTGGAACAGCAAGGAGGCGATGTATGGGAGACAACGCCAGAAGGGCGGAGACCTGGCGTCCACTTGGAGGTTTGCAAGGGCCCTGTAAGCTTCGATGCATGGCGGTCATACCATGCTACGCGACCGTGGAAGGGACGTCGGGTGGTGATGGTTGCATACATGACCGATAAGCTTGGCAATGTCGAGGCCGCCGACCTCGCCCACCTTAAGGCCCTGGGGTTTAAGTTACCACTTGACTCGGATGCATCAAATGGTGAGACTTCAGAGGTTCTGGATAAGGCCGAGGGCCTAAGCACAGGAGACACAGCACCGCCAGTGCCATTCAGACCAGAGGCATGTGGGAACCGCGGCAACCCCATTCGTGTTGAGTGGGAAGGACAAGAGGCTGACATGACAGACGGGTTTGGGTTGTGTTCCCCGGCGCGGTGGAGGCCGATGGACCGGGGACATCGCCTGGGCCCAGCGGCTACTGCACATGCGCAATCCATGTACCGGATGCTTACGAACTTCATTTCAGAGCATGTTCCTGATCCCCGTCGCTTCTGCTTGAGCCTACTTTCAGGTAAGGTCGAATCATCTCCATTCGCCGGGGAGAAGTTGGAAGCTCTGCGTAAGCAGTGGGCAGAGGTGCTTGGTGCAGAGAACAATCCCGACGTGCTCGAGATCCCAGATGCGCAGCCCTTCTTGCTTAGGGCCTTGTCGCTTTCGGCTGAAAGGCTTGAGGACCCAGACTGGCAGATTTTAACGGAGGGAGTCGACTTTCTGCACCGGGGTACCCCTAGGACTTAATTGTGACATACCGCACTTGCCGCAGGTGTATGAGAAGAAATGTCATTGGCGGAAACTTGATGAATCCGAGTTGGAGTTTGATCGGGAAAATTATAAGAGTGCCGAGTTGAGCTCCGCCGAGCTCCTCGAAAAGTTTCGTGCAGAGGAAAAACTGGGGCGGATGAAACCGACAACGCTCGGAGCGCTGCGCGAAGAGTACAGTGAGGACATGATCCGCGTGGCTTCCATGGGAGCCATCCTTAAACCAGATGGCAGTGTGCGGCCATTACATGATGGTACACACGGCGTCAATGTCAACAATCAGATACGCTTGGTGAATCAGCTAGCGGTTCCAGGTCCGGCTGAGATGTCATTTTCAGTTCGGCAATCAGGTGCTATGCAGGAGATTCCCTTGGCCGCAACCGCGGACGTGAGTGCTGCACATAGGTTGGTCTTGCATCGGAAGAGCGATTGGGCCTTGATGTCATGCAGAGCAGAGCAAGGGTCCGACACGATTTGGATCAATAAAGTAGGAACGTTCGGGCTCAGCCCAGCCTCGTTTTGGTGGAGCAGGTTGTATGGAATCATAGGCAGAGTGGTCACCCGTTGCCTACTGCAGCACGCCTTTTACCACTTCGCTTATGTGGACGACGTGCGTCCCACATTTTATGGGAAGCGGATGTTCATCAACTTCTTGGTTTGGTTAATCCTTCAAGAATTGATAGGGGTGCCTTTTGCTTACCATAAGTTCAAGGGAAAGACGCTGGTCGCATTCATTGGCTACGAGCTTGACTACGGTGCCAGGCTTGTGGGCCTCAGCGAAGCCCGAGGCGCTTGGGTGTGCAACTGGGTCGATGAGGCACGGAAAGCGCGTTTTGTCGTTTCAGTTAGAAAGTTTGCGGAGTTTCTTGGGAGGCTTGGTTTCGTGTCCAGGGTCGTGTACTGGATCAAACCACACTTGGCCCCCTTGTATGCTTGGTCAGCTGCAGCTTCGAAGAGCCACGTTGCAAAAATGCCGGACACGGTCATCTTGACTTTGCTTTACTTGGAGGCAACGCTTAAAGACATCAACTTCAAAGTCGCACCGGGTCGACAACGGGAAGAGACAGGGCATCTCTTTCACACGGACGCTAAATGCGCCGATGGTTATGTTGTCTTAGGAGGTTGGGACTCTAGCCAGGACCTTTCGGTTGCACCTTGGTTCTCTATAGTGGTTAAGCCTGCGGATGCCCCGTACCTTTTCGACGAAGATGGAAAATCACAATGGGCGTCAGCTTCAGCCGAGCTGTTAGCTACATTGGCCGCGTTATGGATCTTTGGACACCTCAAAGAGAGTAGTTCGCAGAGGCGACTCCCAGTTGCCATTGCCGGGGCCACAGACAATCAGAGCAACGAGAAGCTTCTTAGGAAACAATCCACGACTAAGTGGCCGCTCATGCTGATCAACATGCAGCTCTCACACCTCTTAAGAAAAGCTTGTTTGAGACTCAGCTTGACTTGGAAACCTCGCGACGAAAACAAGCTGGCAGATGCTCTGACGAATCAGGATTTCAGCTCTTTCAGTTCCGAACACCGCTTGGATGTCAGTTTCAGTGAGCTACCACTCGAGCTCTTGAATCAGTTGTGGTCGTCGAAGTCCGACTTCGATGCGTCTCGCAAGGCGCTGCAGTCTGCAAGCAGTTTTCAGCCTCGTGTCCCGAAGAGGAAGCGCGAAGGCACGCCCTGGTGACTCAGGGAGAGGGGGCGAGGCTTCGCACGCCAGGTGTGCCTGCCTTCCCTCCGACGAGGGGACATCCACCACCATCCGGGAAAAAGAGTCTTCGTCCGAGTGCCTGAATGATTGACTCTATATTCTCTTTTATATATTTATCTCCGACGGGCATATATTCGTCCACTTTTGAAAGAGCGAATTTTATAAGGTTTAGCGTTCGGCTCAAACCTCAAAACAAGAAGGTGAAAACAGGCACCTTGGCTTCAGCAGGTAGCTCCACGCGCTCCAAGGTGGGCAACGCCATAGGTAGTGGCGGCAAAGACTGCTGGCAGAGCCGGGAGGGATCCAGCCATGGCTCCCTCTTCAGGTGGAATGTCCACCTACAAATATCATATCAGAAAGAAGCTTCGGGCCATGGCGGCCCACCTTGAATGCTACAGCGGCCCGAGCCTACCTCTCGTGCCCTCTGGAACCTCCAAGTTGAATGTCAGTCGTGTCAGGGATCACCTTTCTGGTGTAAGTGGGGACATGCGAACCATTCAAAGCTTGGTGGGCTTCATCGTGAGTTACAGAGAGCGACGCCAGCGCAAGGCGGAAAGCGATCTTCACTACATGCAGGCTAGGGGTGTGATGCCTAGCATGCTTTGGTTCTGTGAGGGCTCCTTTGGCATTTTGCCGAAGTGGGCACAGGAGCCAGAAGATCGCTATGAGCTGAAGCGGGAAGGCCTTGGCCGTCCCACGGGAGACAACGATCAATGCGACGACATTTTCATCGACGACATGGTGCAGGCAGTGAGCGGCCCGACAGCCGAGCAAGTCACCACTGCCTTCCTTCCTGTGAACTTTCAGCGAGCTGAGTGCATAAGCGATGGTCCTGGAGATGCCTCAGAGCGTGATTTTCATTCTCTGCCGACTGTGCTCATGCAATTTGGTTTGCCGGAGAATTTCCCTCTCGAGGAATCACCTGGTGGTGGCAACGTGAGCAGCGCGCAGCCTGCTACAAATCTTACTGTTGAACGCCTGACTCCGGACCTTTTCGAAGCCTCTCTCGATGCGGAGTTCTGGTATTATGCTGCACAAACCAATTTTGATGGTCCTGATGGTACCTCAGAGCACGATTTTCGTTCCTTGCAATTTTTGCTCATGCGTTTTGGTCTGCCAGAAGATCCACTACAGGGTGCTACACAGGCAGATTGTGACGATGACCTCGCTTCAGGGCGAGCACAGCTAAACTGTTTCGAGGAAACTTTGGATGAGGATTTCCGATACTATGCTAAGCTTGCTTCTGAAGCTGACGCACAGCATGCGGCATATGTTGCCGATGGTCCTTCTGAACCGTGGGCTGCAGCCTTTGTTGGGGCTGACCTGCGTGTTGTTTCTCAGGACCGTGGTGCTAGTTTTGTGATTTGCGAAACAAGAAAAATCAATAACGGGGAGGGGACCCAAAGACCCCAAGAAAGTGAGAAGACCCGTGAATGGGCAAAGAGCCACGATGGCCAATCTCCTGAGCCCCGTGACCCACCTCGACTCCCGACCGGCCCCGAGCTTGGGCCCCCGTGTAGTGAAGCCTCCGTGTGCGACGCCATGGTATGGGAGACGTTCGTCGACGAGGGCAGTCACGACTTGACAGGTTGTGGCACTTCGACCGGAGAGCTTGAGCTTAGTGCCGGTGTTTGTGAGAATGACTGCAATTGCCTGGCTAACTTGCACAGGGTTTCCCCGCCCCTTCCCGGGTTTAGGCCTTCTCTGTGCGGGTGTGTCGTTAGGCAAAGGCCTTTTGTGGAAGGAAGCTGCTGCAAGGAAGCCGATGACGAGAAGTCGGTTTCCCTTTCCCCCCTAAGGTTTAGGCCTCTTTTCGACCCTAGTGCCGTACCGTATGCGCGGTGGCTATCGTTGGACTTGTGCAGCTGCCTTTGTTTCTTGTGCCCGGCCAAAACCCGCAATCATGATGCACATGTTGGCCAACGCATAGGTGAGGCATCGCATCCTGGGCCGGCGCCTGAGATCGGTTCTGACTCTGAAGTGAAGCACGATCTCATCTCCTTGCTAGCAAGCACCTGGGGTGACTGTTCCAACTACACTGCTTCGTCTTTCGGGGTGCAGGACCCAGTCAGATTTTGGGATCCCGCTGGGTTTTTCGCCGATGACAGCGTTGAGAGTTTCAAGCGCCGCCGCCAGACCGTAGTGAAGCACGGACGCATCTCCATGCTTGCAAGCGCCTGGAATGACTGTCCCAACTACACTGCATCGTTTTTGCATGTTTTTGAGATCGAGTTCGGTGTGCAGGTTCCAGTCAGATTTTGCGATCCCGCAGGATTTACTGACGATGGCAGTGTTGAGAGCTTCAAGCGCCGCTGTCAGACCGAAGTGAAACACGGACGCATCCCCATGCTTGTAAGTGCCTGGGGTGATTGTCCCAACTATGGTGCATCGTCTTTGCATGCTGGTAAAATCGATTTCGGTGTGCAGGACCCAGTCAGATTTTGCGATCCTGCAGGTTTCATCGCCGATGGAACCGTTGATAGCTTCAAGCGCCGCCCTCAGACCGAAGTGAAGCACGGACGCATCGCCATGCTTGCAAGCGCTCGGGGTGATTGTTCCATTTTCACTGCATCGTCTTTATGTGCCTTTGAGATTGAGCTCGGTGTGCAGGACCCAGTCAGATTTTGCGATCCCGCAGGTTGCAATGATGGCAGCAATGAGAGTTTCAAGCGCCGCCGTCAGACCGAAGTGAAGCACGGATGCATCTCCTTGCTTGCAGGTTTCAGTGCCGATGGCAGCGTTGAGAGTTTCAAGCGCCGCCGCCAGACCGCAGTAGAGCACGGACCCACCTCCAAGAGCACAAGCGCCTGGGGTGACTGTTGCAACTACACTGCATCGCTTTTGCATGCTTGCGAGATCGCTTTAGGTGTGCAGGACCCAGTCAGATTTTGCGATCCCGCAGATGTCAGTGCCGATGGCAGCGTTGAGAGCTTCAAGCGCCGCCGCCAGACAAGCGCCTGGGGTGACTTTTGCAACTACACTGCATCGCCTTTGCATGCTTGCGAGATCGCTTTAGGTGTGCAGGACCCAGTCAGATTTTGCGATCCCGCAGATGTCAGTGCCGATGGCAGCGTTGAGAGCTTCAAGCGCCGCCGCCAGATAAGCGCCTGGGGTGACTTTTGCAACTACACTGCATCACCTTTGCATGCTTGCGAGATCGCTTTAGGTGTGCAGGACCCAGTCAGATTTTGCGATCCCGCAGATGTCAGTGCCGATGGCAGCGTTGAGAGCTTCAAGCGCCGCCGCCAGACAAGCGCCTGGGGTGACTGTTGCAACTACACTGCATCACCTTTGCATGCTTGCGAGATCGCTTTCTGTGTGCAGGACCCAGTCAGATTTTGCGATCCCGCAGATGTCAGTGCCGATGGCAGCGTTGAGAGCTTCAAGCGCCGCCGTCAGACCGAAGTGAAGCACGGATGCACCTCCATGCTTGCAGGTTTCAGTGCCGATGGCAGCGTTGTAAGCTTCAAGCGCCGTTTCAGTGCCGATGGCAGGGTTGAGAGCTCCAAGCGCCGCCGGTGCTGCGGGGCTGCCAAAACCAGCATTTTCCAGACCCCCATTCTCGAGCCGAGAATGGGGGTCTGGGCAGGGGCCTGTGGTGACTGTGGCGACTACACTGCATCGCCCTTGCGTGCCTTCGAGAGCGAGTTCGGTTTACAGGACCCAGTCCGACCTTGGGATTCTGCAGGTTTCATCGCCGATGGCAGTGTTGAAAGCTTCAAGTGCCGTCTTATTGCCGATGGCAGCGTTGTGAGCTTCAAGCGCCGCCGCCAGACCGAAATCAAGCACGGACGCATGTCCCTGTTTGCAATCGCTCGGGGTGACTGTTCCAACTACACTGCATCGCCTTTGCGTGCCTTCGAAATCGAGTTCGATTTGCAGGACCCAGTCAGACTTTGCGATCCCGCAGGTGTCATCCTTGATGGCAGCGTTGAGAGCTTCAGTCGCTGCCGCCAGACCGACGTGAAGCACGGATGCATCTCCATGTGTGCAGATTTCACTGCCAATAGCAGTTTTGAAAGTTTCAAGAGTCGTCGCCAGACCGCCATGCTTGCAAGCGCCCGGGGTGACTGGTGCAACTACACTGCGTTGCTTTTGCGTGCCTTCGAGATTGAGCTCGGTGTGCAGGACCCAGTCACCTTTTGGGATCCCGCAGGTTCTCCGGCGCCTATATCACTCCACCGTGCGTGCATACCGGAGGTGAGTAGTGGAGTGATGGCGAGACAGTGCACGACATGTCTGAATGACACAACACAGGATGACCTTTTCACGATGTGGACGCTTGTTTGCAAAATTTTCTGCTATGTTTGGGCAGCACTCCGCAAGTTGCGCAATCAGATTGCTCATGCACTTAATGGCAATGGGAAAGGTGGAGCCAAAGGTGCAAAGGGCACCAAAGGTGCCAAAGGCAAGTCGAAGCAAGCCAGCTACAGCCAGTCTTCCGATGCTCAGTTCGTCACTCCTTTTCTTCCACAAGCTGATGTGCCTGACTTTGGCGATGATGGTGGCGACGCTATGTTGGTGCAAGCCATCCGCGATTCAATGCCCGTGGAGGCTCACTTGCGAGGTTTGCCCACTTTGCTTTCAGCGGAATGGGATGCCCCAGTGCTTTCCTATCCGCAATTGTCAGCCCAGGGTGGCATCTCCTTGGTGCCTAAGGCAGCAATTCCCAGTGTCATCAGGACGGTTGGCTTCACGGCTCAACCCACGGCGATTCTTATCACGCAGTCGCCGGGGTCTTTGGGACTTGGCTCGTATCCTCATGCGCAAGTTGAATGCACCATTTTGCTGCATGAAGGGGCGGACAAGAGAGAGATTAGAGTTTCTCGTTGGTGTGTGCAGCTCGGCTTTGCTGTTCCTGTCAAGAGGATTGCGCAGGGCCCCAAGGTCACCATTGCCCAGACGATGTTACGCATGGTTTGTAAGCAACCGGAAGAGTTTGGGTGGCCATCGCAGGCCAAGGCATCGCATGTCAC